ACATAATGGGAAATCAACAGGATAGCCTTACTAAATATGCTTTTTGTACGAAAGGTGTCGACTTTTCGTCTTCTTCGCGTTTGTTTTTATAGATTTCAATGAAAGTTTCAATTTTGAACTTTCATTTTGCGAACGAGTGTTTGTGTCTTATGCTTTCCGTTGAAGTTTTGCTCTGGAAATTGGTGCGCGGTCGCTCAGAATTGATCCCCACGCGCATGCCTGACGTTTGACCATCGCGTAAAAAAATCCGTAACCAAAAAAGGGCTAGAGTCCAAACTCCGTCGAACTATGTACTGATAAAATATATAATAAATTGACCAAACATTCGGATTAAATAAAAACTGAGAAACTTCCTATAATTACAAACTGATGGATAACAAATTAGCTTCAACGAAAACTCAAAAAAACAAAAAACAACTAACTCCGTAAAAACAAACAACAAGAAATACACGAGAAAAATATTCAAGTTAATTTTCCAGGTCAAAGTTACAATTCTTTAATGTAATTGGCTAATTTGTGAAATGACGCGCACCGCGCGTTAATGCAAAAAGAATTCAAAGGGGAAGAGGAAGAGGAAAATTTTAATTTACAACTCATAACCGAAAGAGATTCTCTTTATGCCGTGTTTCCCTTTACCTCGACAATTTTCACGTCCCTTCATCTGTCTTTGTCCATCAATAAAACATCATTTGATAAAATTATTTTCGACTGAAGAGAACTTTGAGCTTTTATCCTCGCATTACTAAGTGCGCGATGTTGCTGGTTCGAAAAAGTATTATTCGGGCGTAAATTCTGTTTTTGTTACAACTTTTGATAAGTAGTTTTTTTAGAAAAGCTTTTCAAGATAAAAATTAGTGATAATAATTTTGAACGACGTTTCGACCTCGCTGAGGTCATTTTCAAGCTGATGAAAAGGACAATTTTTACTTATATGTACTAAATTCAAGACGTGGGAAAGATAAAGGCGCTAAAATATGGAAATATGTAAACGCTAGGCGTAAAATAGAAGTGATAAAATTGCAAAGGAGACAATACGAATAAATTAATATGAGAGTTGACGAAAGTAAAACTATAAATTCTATGAAGATACCGTAAATTATTATAAAAATAGCTTTGTGCGGATTGAGTCTGACTGTTTGTTCAAGCTTGGCTTAATTTCTTTTATAAAAAGCATCTCGTAAATTAGGCAGTCCAGTTTACTTTTGCATTTCTTCAGGATTTTGAAACTGTGATGCAGGTCACTTGGGGTATGCCCATGCCGCTCTTTAATGTGGTTCACGATTGAAGACTGAGACGCTTTGTGTTCTTCTGCACGTTGGTAGAGGTACCGGCATGTTTAGCCGACATAGTCTGCATCGCACAGACCACACTTAAAATAATACACAACGCACTGCTGATTGATGATGTTGGGCTTCTTTTTCGTTGGTTTTAACTCATATCCGATCTTTCTGTTGGTGTACACAGGAGAAATGTCATTTCCAATTTTTCGGCTTAGGTCGCCAAGTTGCTCAAGAAGAAGCCCAACATCATCAATCAGCCGAGTATTTTACGAGTTTTGCCAATTTTGACGAGCCCGTAGGGCTAGTCAAAATACAAATAACGAGTAAAAATACTCAGCGATACTACACAACAAAACGTCTAATAAGTTATTTATTATCCAACACGCCAAACCGTTATTTCAGTGCGGGCGAATTTCGCGGGATATTTATAGCGGAGCTCCCACGCGTGGGGCACAGACACATTACATATGATTGAAATTGTCTGCCATCTGTTTTTTTTTTCGTAACTACAATCCAATTCTTCGCTCGCGCGATGCGAGAAAACCTGTTTAACCGGTACTACAATAGACGAGTACAAATACCACGTGATATTTGTACTCGTCTATGGCGTTATTTGAACTCGTGCAGGTGTAGTTGGATAATAAATACGAATATATATGATTTCTCTCCGCTAAGGAGTTAGTATATGTATCAGTTAGATGTAAGAGCGGGCCTTCTGGGAAAAGTGACCGGTAACCATGACACCTTGTTACTCTTACATAAACAAGTCAGAAAAGGGGACCTTGTAGACTTGTTCAGAAGTCGCTATTTTGGGCAAGTAATTCATGGCAGTCTCCATATAGACTCCCTGTTACCCAGTCTCCATATAGACTCCCTGTTACCCATTCTCCCTGTGTACCCTGTGTACCCTGTGTACCCTGTGTACCCTGTGTACCCTGTGTACCCTGTGTACCCTGTGTACCCGTGTGTACCCTGTGTACCCTGTGTACCCTGTGTACCCTGTGTACCC